TGGTGGGTATTGAGGAGGGCACATTCTGCATGGAGTACTGGGTGTTATGCACAAACAATGAATCATGGAACACTTCATCTAAAACTAATGATGTAGTGTATGGGGATTAACATAAGAATAAAAAAAAATAGTAAAGAAATAAATAAATCTTAAAAAATAAATAAATAAATAAATAAACTAGCACAAAACTTTTGTGACAATGGGCTCCTCTGACTCAAAGATTATACAAAAACTATAAAATTAGTTGCAGAAATAAGGGCAAAAGATGGTCTTCTGTTCTGTCCACATACCCCCTCTAGTGTCAAAAACTCAAAGTAAACTAAGGAAGGAAAAGGATCCCATTGGGTCCCATCTGTCTCCCAAAGCCTCATTCACCTGCTTTAAAAAATACATTAGGGTTCCTTCATATCACCTATTCTGAGAGAAAAGGACCAATGTGGGGAGTGGTCCAGGCTGCATCTTCTCTCCTTGAAGTCACCAGAGTTACATTCACAGAGCTGGAAGGCCACTGGCCATCTCTTGGCATTATGTCCAACCTGGGTTCCCAGACCTCTGGGCCTCAGAAGAAACAGTACTGGGGTCCTCATGAGGGACCTGGAATTTCACAATGCCTGAGGAAATTGTGCCCTCACTGGAGATGAAACTGAAAACCACCAAAGAAACTGGCAAGTGTTTTTGCCTTCAGGACGTTATCCGCTTGGTGTTGGATCAGCACTGCATATCTCCCGCTCGCTAAATGGTAGTTATCTATGTCTTAAAATACTCAAAAATAGGAAAATAAGTAATGGCTTCATATATGTGGTCGGTAAAGAGTGTAAGATATGTTTAAATTTGGGGCTCATAAGAGCAAAAACATAATAAAAGTGGCCCTTCACAATGAAAAAGCTAGGACCCACTTCCCTGCTAAGCTATTGGCCTCTGAGGTGCGGATAAACCAGGCTGCTTTCAGAGAGAGCACTTCTCATGGCCAGGCCACCTCATCAGACATTGGGAGGAGCAATGATTCACAAGCCTGTACTAGTGAATGGCAAATAGTGTTTCCTGGAAAGGTACTCAAACTGGCTTTTATCAGTTTGGGCTTAAAAACATTCAAAATCTCCTGAGAATCTATTGTACAAACCCAATTCCTTAGTCTTTTTATTCTTGTTTTCGGTATTATCTCCCCCAATTCTGCCCAATCTTCCAAATGACTTTGATGCCCCAGGCTATCAGGTCTCCTCACCAAACTATATTTCGAACATTTATTGATTCATTCAACACATATTTACCTAAGGCTCATTAGGGGCCAGGCATTATGCCAGGTGTTGGAGAAAACAGTGACAGATGTGTCTCCACCATCATGGAGGATACAAATAAGAAATACAAGGGCAAGGCAGGGACATGGTCGCTACAGGAGTTCCATGAAAGAGAATACAACTAGCCCTGCTTTGGTCACTTGACTAATCAACACTTTATTTCTGTTGCAGAGTTTAACAGTGATGTAAATAATAACCAATAAGTGTGAAGTGAGGTACACTTTTTTCCATAATCATTACTTAAGGTAATTAAAAATATCGTGGTCCCACTTACTGGTCTATATCTTCCAGTAGTCTGTGAGCTCCTCCAGAACAGTGATCATCACATCATTTGACAGAATTACAATCATATTGGATATACATACACATACGTATATATCATTACTTTATGTGTGTATATGTAAAGAATTTTTTTAAATAATGACTATATCATATTAATGATTATATAATATTCCATGATTGTATAATATTCCCATTTGAATAACAGTTCCAACTATATGATTGTATAGTATTCCAACTTGGGACATTTGTGCAAGTTGCTGAATCACATTGAATATTTAGATTATTTCTAATTTTTTACTATTATAAATAACATTCCATGGGTTATAATTTTTAAAAATCTTAGCTACAGATATGACTACTTTTTCTTAGGATAGATTTTTAGAAGTGAACCTCTATTTGCTTCTTATAATTTCATATACATTATTAAATTGCTTTCCAAATGTATTGTACTAACTTACACTCCTGCCAGCAGGGTGAGTGACCCTATCTAATTGCATATTTGCTGGCATCGATAATTTTTTTTAACTTTAATAGGTAAAACTGGTATATCTTTATGTTTGCTTTTTTCATTTTCCTGGTGAGTTTAAACTATTCCTTTTTTTCCTTCAGTTTTTTTTTTTTTTTAAAGATTTTTTTTATTTATTTATTTGAGACAGAGAGA